ATAATCTCTCAGTAAAGATATTCTTTTTTAAAGCACACTTAAAATTTACTTCTCTTTGCTCCATTGGGGAGCAATTCAGGTTCCAAACAAAGTTCTAAGGATGCTAAAAAGATTAATGGATTTTGCGAGCTGTACGAGCCCCTCCAGCACTGACAGTATCTCCATAGCTCCTCAGAACGAACAAACAGCAAAGTTTCCATTAAATGTTGCCTGTGTGCCATCACGGCTGGTTTGGGAGAGAAGTCCAAGTGCAGGCAGCAAGCTGGCTTCTCTGTAGGACCACAGCATTTTCCTGCACTTTCATATGGGAGGGTCTAGATTTTGTCTTTTTGCCCCAAACTCTGTTTTCCTGTAATTGACTTATGAATTCAGTTTGTTCATGATTTAAATACTCATTGGTTAGGGAGGAAGTATATCCATAGATTAAGGCAGGTGGATATTCTGGTTTGATTCCATGATTGCTTTCCATTGGTATCCATTCCAGGAATAGTTCTTTCCTGTATCATGGTGTAATGAGGGTAAAATTCCATCACTATAAAGCCAGATTTTGACCCATAATGAAAACTGTGGAAGCCCCTAGATAGGAGAAACAAAAATATTGAAGGGATGAGACTGAAGGATGTGTCAAGGAAATTCATAAGGGGGCTTGAATGGCAGAATCCTAAAAAGTAACTTTCATTTTTCTTTGACTTTTCATCAGTCGCAGGAATGGCGATGATCTTGAACTGTGAACTGAACCACCTGAATCCCTTCCCCATCGCCATTAAGAACATCATTAATTCAGAGGCTGGCAACTGGGACCTCATTGTTCTAGGAGATATGTTTTACGATGAACAACTTGCCGATGGTCTGCATCACTGGCTGAGGAAATGCATCAGGATACAGCAAACTGAAGTGCTGATTGGCGACCCCGGCAGGCACCAGTTTTTAAGCCACAGCATTCGCAGTCAGTTGCACAAAGTTATAGAATATTCACTTCCCGAGTATACCAGACAAGAAAACAATGGATTAACATCAAGTATCGTCTGGAGTTACCAGCCCTCAAATAGCTTGGAAGCCTGCTGAAGCTGGCGCTCTAATGAATTTTGTGGCTCACTTGGCTGGCTGTTTTTGTAAGTATGTGTCACGGTCCACTCCAGTATGTAAAATGAAAATGGGAATTAAACAGGGAACATATCTGTTGATGCAGAGTAGATTACTGTACTTTTGCTGCACCGATTTCAGTCACACTCACTGAGGCTTTCGCTCCATTTGAGGTAAAAACTCCGTGCAAACTGTATTCAAAGGGGCCTGCGCTGAAGTGCAAATCCAAAGCCAAGTTACACGTACGAGTTTGCATGCTGGGTGTTTTTCATGTATATCCCTGTCTTGCTCTCTGCCACTACTCTGACATGTTTGGGATGTCCTGCGTACTGCTGCTGGGAGAAGGCAGTGGCTGAAAGATTACTGCACTGCTTTCACAGACTTTTGCAGCTTATTTACAGAGAAAATATTGCTCTCCTTCATAAAACTCTCCGCTATGCTCAACTCTATGCTCAACTGAAAGTGCCTTGCTCTTTTTTTTGGATATTTCTTGTGAATGTCAAAGTAAATAATTTGAATCTCCCCCCTGCTCCTTCCCCTCTATAATAAAAACTTACTCTTCTTGAAGCTGCCAGAGTGATTATTTAGGAGTTGCACAGAAATCTAAGATAAGCTTCTTGAACTCTAGCCAAAGTCAAAGTTTTTAGGAAGTGGAAAGTGAGTAAATAGTAATAGCTACAGGGTAACATTATGCCCTGGACAGTAGGGTCAAATGATCTACAGTCCCTACCTTTGCAGGGGTAAAAAAGGCAACCTCTCATCCATGGGAAGCTGGTGAGGGATGAAGAAATCTCTCCTTCCATAGTGTTTCTGAACAGAACGTAACTAAATAAAAACAGGGAACAAAAATCAGATATAGTTGTTTTTCTCTTCTCTTGAGGAGATTCTGGACAAGAAGTTCCAGAATCACTCAGCTATGTCTGTCAAGGAAGAACCCCCTCCAGGCTTTAAAAAAAAAAAAACAAAAAAACCCCAAAAAAACCCCAAAACGACGACAAGAAAAGTTGATCCACAGGTAAGAGGCTGTAAATGCAGCCATTTGAAGAAGAAACCAACGTTTTCAGAGCAATCTTGCAGGAACTGTCACCTTTAGCAGTTCACTATTGAACAAGCAGTGATGGGGAGCTAGTAACTGCAGAATGGAACACAATGCACCTAGAACTATCCCAGTATGAGGTGATGTGGTGGAAGCATATAAACGTGAAGAAGTATGTTGTATTCACTCAGAAAACCATGGTGTTTATGAAGTAGGAGGTTTAGGAGCACATTCAGATGTACACAGCCATAAAATATAATTTGACAAGTTTTCAGAACTACCCAAACGGAAGACTTACAAACTTTAATCTTCAGAACAATATGTGAGTCCTCTGCAGTGCTCACTCAACAATTTACAACAATAACAATACCCAAACAATACAGAATATGAAGTGATAAGCGTATACATGACATTCTTCTCCTACTTCATCCAGTGCCTGTAAACATTTGTTAAAAATTATTGTGATTTAAACTGAATCAAAAAATATTCCAGTAGAGTTACGCTAGTAACAAACATGTAAGACATGAAGTCTGACAGTGAAGGATTTAGTGTGACTTACATTAAACTTTCAAACCCCAAAATACGGTGTTAATTCACTGCAGTATTGTACAGATTTTTAAGCACAAGGTGAGGATATACTACTAAGTTACACATTTAGAAGAGGCTATAGGAGAAGATGATAAAATACATGCACATTTAAGGACATGGTGTAAGCTGCATTTGCCTTCAAGTTGCCTCAAAAGGTTGTGAAGGCTCAGTCATCTTCAGTTTTTCAAGACTGGGATGGATAAATCCCTGACTAAGCTGGTCTGAGCTTGGAGCTGGCCCTGCTTTGGGCAGGAACTTAGACTAGAAACCTCCTGAGACCCATTCCCACTTGAGTTAGCCCACAATTCTACTTGCTCTTTTTGTGGCACCCTTCCTGAAACCAGGGCTGGCAGCCTGATCTTTATTCTTTGCTTACTCAACATCATTACTGAGCGTGTCTTTGCTGCCTAATCAGCTACATGGATCAACATGAAAAACCGTGCAAAACAAAGTTATTGCAAATTCACGTCCAAGAGTTCAAAAGGAATGATGGGCCCTGGCTGATACCAGGGATTCCACTGGGCAAAGCAATAAACTACTCTTTAGCCAAAAAAAAGGGAATAAAACATGGTCAATTAGGTTCTTGGGCCTCTATCTGGTCCGAGGATCTGCTGCAATTACAGCCTTCAGATGCCAGCTGCTAATGCAGCAAAACCAACTTTGGTTTGCAGGAATGGTTTGTACTGGTGCAGCTACATTCCGTAATGCAGGAATGGTTTGTACTGGTGCAGCTATGCCCATAGGTATCATAGGGACGCATTCGTCACTGGGCTGAGCTGTGTTACCATATGCAAAAAGGGCTGGGGATGTAGGCACTGGAGTTTGAAACTTACGCTTCCAGTTACATTTGAACAAGTTTTCTAAATGGACTTGCTTTTCCATAAACCGTATCTTCAACAGAAGAACAGAGAGTATTGCCAGACAACATAATATCCTCTAATATTACTGGATGCAACATATATTATTATCTTCCATGCAATTTGATCTGAACGTTAAATAGATTAGTAGAAGACTGGTTTATTTCTGCAACACTTAAAATGAAGGCAGTTATGACAAGTGTTAAAATGATAAAGTAAACACATTGTTTATGGCTGCCTAAACTCATGGGTTTCTAAGTGTTATCAGATCCATGTAAGACCACCCTAGCTAAACCCTGCTACTAGATGCCGAGTATCAACAGAGTGTGCTACCTGCCCTCTAGAACACTCAAACTGCTACCACTTGAGACAGTTTAATGTAGAAATCACAGCAGTCTCACTAGAAGCTATGCTGTTTCAAGAAAGCCAGTGCACATGACTTACTGTGATGAGACCCCTGCTCCATCATGTAATACACTCATTCTACCCTTCTAAATTATTTTTTTCTTTACTATGACTACAATTGAACAATATATGTGGCTGTTATTTTCAGCTTCTGGGGGCCACTGGAGATACAATAAACTGCACACAGCAGAACACATACTCTGCGGAACTCTACCATCCTGAGATCCATGTACTCGGCCACTAAATTTGGTCCTATTTCACTCACAGCTATGCTTATGAAGACCAGCATTTTGTTTCCTAAAAGGATTTTCATGCAGGAACGTAAGCAAAAGCCAGATCAAATAAGTATTTGCCCATATACAAGCCTCTTTTACTGGTCATAGCTACTACTCTGAAATTTAAGTCGCCACAATTTCAAAGCAAGCTTATGTTTACATGTTCACAGACCGTACTTTTGGATGTGCAAAAATCCAGAAAGTATTTGATGGCAAGTAAACCCAGAAATCTGCAGCAACAGTAACATCAAAAGAAAGGTATCTACAGTTTTTCTTCCAGACCTAGCAAAAGTACATGGTGAAAGGAGATGGATTGTTACTACTTAAAATACATTTGCATTGCTGTTAATGCCACCTCCATTCACCAGTTCTGTTTGTGACTTTCGTCAGATTGAAGTCCCAGCTTTACAGACACTTCTGCGTAAGCGTTGACACTATGTTTGGGCTTGGTACTTTAAGTTCCAACTACCCTCTCAGACTATAAACTCAGACCACAGACTTACTTACATTGGGTTTGTACATGTACCTAAGATGCTAAAAGATGCTCAGTAGTAGCCAATCATGATACTTCAAGGAGGATGAGCAATGACAGCACAATATTAACTATAGTTTAACTTTCCTCTTGATGAACTATGATCACCGATAAGAGACAGGGCTCTAAGAGACAATGGGGAAGCCCAGGCTCCCAGGCAAGGACTGGAATGGTGATGGAGACCTCTGGTGGGAACAAGGAGAGAAGCAAATCTGGTGGTCCAAAAGTCACCAGCTGTTTCTCCAAGGTGCTTGTTTTCTGAAAGAGCTCTCCCATCTGTAAACTTTACACTCCTACGTACATGACAAATAATCAGTACACAGTCCATGTTAGTTGTGTGATTTTGTTTGATACGACTAGCTGATCTAAAACATCTCGGGAACGATCTGCAAAAGAACCAAGGAATTTCTTGTTATTCATTCAGAATATATAGAGGTGGCATTTAGAAATTAGGTAAACAGAAAAATAATTAAATGATACATCTGCATTTCTGCTTATCTTGCTATTACAATATCACAGTTCAGGTATACCTGTAGTATAATTCAAAACCACTCGGTTTTTTCTCCAATCACATAACCGTAAATCACATAACCACCAACCCACTGAACTTAAGAAAACCAGGGTAGATGATAACCTCTCTTAAGCTTGGCTTTTCTCCAGGCTGACCAGTCTTACTCCATTCCACTGTTTCTCGAATGGATGCTGTTCCATACTTTTGGAATAGAATAGGGGTTTAAGATGCTAACACATTTTCTGAAGTCTTAGCATCAACTTTGGGTCTTCATCAGCATGTTGAGGGGGGGAATAAAGGAAACGAAAAAAAAATCCAAACTCTAAACCAACAAAAAAACCCCTCTCTGAAGGTTGCCATGTTTCAAAGCAAAACTCTCACCTTGCTTTGAAAAATCTCAGTGTATGATTATTATTTTATCTAGTAAGTTATTAGTTTGGGATTATTTACAAAATATATATTCCAGAGAGCAAGAAGGTACTATCAGGAAGTAATTACTCTTCTTACTCCCTGCGTGATTTGACTGACCTGTTATCAATGGGCATCCGTGGAACAGTAAAATGTGTATCTTCGGACAGTAAGTAAGAACCGCTTCCACAGCGACATCGGTCAGATTCACGCAGCATTCCATGTGGATCTCCTGTTAAGAAAACAGTAGTAATGAAAGCCTGTCAGAGCACCCATAGTTTTGAGGCAGAGCTTTCCTTTGCCCAACCATTTTCAGAGATCCCCACCCAGAATTATGATCTACTGCTCCTCTGTGCTTTGACCCTGTATGTGGTCCTGTACAGACCAGGAAAATACCCTCAGGAAAAATAAGACAGCTTTTCTGTGAAGGGTCAAAACTAAAACCAGAAACCTGAGTTTTGCCAAAACACAGGTATCATTCAAGACAACTGAGACTCTACAGTGTTTGAGTCCCAACAGTTTTCCTATGACACACATTCTCCTAATAATTTGTTGCCCAAGAGAACAGAATCCAAACTGAATTCTGGGGTTTCCCAAAACAGGAGGGATGCAGGAGTCTCTGCTGAAGTTCCTAATGTCTATCTATCCGTATGTCTTCATAGTTCCTAAAAGAAATCTAAGAACTTTTCCAAGACTAGACTACTCTCATCTTCATTTCTGTGCACTTGTAAAACTAGTACTTGTATTTGGTAGAGAAACAATAAATTCAGAATTAACAGATTATTAACAACTTTTTTTTTTCTCTCAGCTGCCTTACATATTAATAAACAGAACATACAAGAAAAAACGCAGAAAAGAGACTATTACATCTAATGAAAATAGGATTTGGTAATATACACTTTGGGGATCTTAGGCTAAAAATAACTGCCTCCTGCATTGTTTTACTGGGAAAGTGTGTCTTTCCAAATGATAAACCCCAAGTATCTTGAGGGACACAGAAATGAAAGGGACCTTTTGTAACAAAACCAACTTTGTGCAGAATGATGACAGAGGAAACAAGAACTATTCACAGAAGCACAATATACAAAAGCTGATACATGTATAGTTTTTTAGTCCATTTTAATAAGTGAGATGTGGAATCTGAATGAGGTAAAAATACTTCTAAATCTGCCTGCTAGTTACAGTTTGAGAATTTTAAGACCCTACTTTTTTCACCGTGTACCTGACATTAGATCACCGCCTATAAATTTGCACTTTGATGACACGAAACAGAGGTGGGAGGCTTGTGACACACACAAGGAAGAGTTACACTGAAGAAGAGATTGTAGCAAATAATTCCATATTCTTTACTAAATTTTGTTTTCTTATGGCTTGTAAACCAAGAGACCTAAACCATTCTGACTCTTTATACTGATGGAAAACAACTTTTTTAAAATTGTCATTCAACAAAAAGCATTAAATTTTGCCTTATTAAAACTGCACAGACCACCCTCCAAACAAAAAAAAAAAACCCACACCCAAAAGCCCAAATGCAAAAGCATTTAAATACATGGCTTTTAAGAAAGTAGAAACAATTATAAAGCACAGGAAAACGAACAACCAAAATCAAGACTACTATTCAGTCTGTCATCACTGAAATCTCCCATTAGTTCTTCTGAAATCAAATCCCACCACCTCAATATTACTTTCTTGAACACTTATAGATGAAGTAGGTCTTATGTGAGGTACTTAACCTGTTCTTCCTGATCTAGTACAGCTTCCACAGGCATCCATGCACAGCACACATGAAAAAAAACCTGTCACTTTCCAGGGAAGTGTAACTACAGCAATGTGACCAGGAAACACCAAAGGCCACATTTTGTAAGCTGGAAATTTTTATTAAAAATAAAAGGAACTGCGTTTCTATGGTTTGAAGAAAAAGGGCTTATACACAAGAATACAATTCTCTACAAACTGTGGACAGTAGTAATACAGAAGAGAGAAGATAATACTGACAGAGTAATTATACCAACATTGCTGGAAAATCATTCAAAACCCTCTAGAAACCCTCTAGGAACTTTACAGAACCCCGCTCTACTCAATAGCAACCCCAAAACTTACTACAATAAACTTATGAAAACTTATTACAGTATTTGTGTTTTAAGACAGATACACATTTTGAGAATGACCTAGTCCAAATGACCTAATCGAAATCATAGAATCACAGAATGGCAGGGATTGGAAGGGACCTCTGGAGATCATCTAGTCCAACCCCCCCGCTAAAGCAGGTTCACCTACAGCAGGTCGCACAGAATCATGTCCAGGCAGGTTTTGAATATCTCCAAGGGAAGGAGACTGCACAACCTCCCTGGGCAGCCTGTTCCAGTGCTCTGTCACCCTTAATGTAAAGAAGTTTTTCCTCATGTTGAGGCGGAACTTCCTGTGCTCCAGTTTGTGCCTGTTGACCCTTGTCCTGTCACTGGGCACCACTGAGAAGAGCCTGGCCCCATCCTCTTGACACCTGCCCTTTAGATATTTAAAAGTGTTGATAAGGTCCCCTCTCAGTCTTCTCTTCTCCAGGCTAAAGAGCCTTTCCTCATAGGAGAGATGCTCCAGTCCTCTCATCATCTTTGTTGCTCTCCACTGGACCCTCTCCAGTAGTTCCCTGTCTTTCTTGAAACGGACACAGTACCCTGGATTGCTTTACATTTGTAGGCTGGATACGAGAGGTGTCTTACGAAGACGACCTGCATAGTCTCAGGGTTGTTTAGAAAATCTGGAATCTATGTTTTGCTACATCTAAAGGTGTAACCAGCTAAAAGACAAAGATATTTTCCAGTCACCTCTAGTATATAAAAAACGATCTCTCACTGCTATGGTCTGAAAAACAATAATTTAATCTTGTACCGCAAGACTTTAATGATCAAAAAGATGGTCCAAAATAGACAAAATCAGATGGAAAAAAACAAACCCAAATCTAAATCTTCACCCTTCAAATAAAACAGTACCAGTTCTATTTTTTCCAGGTTATTAATACTATTCGTTGACCCAGATTTGGTATTTTGTTTAAGATTGTTTTTTTTATTAAACTCTGTAAACAAGCAAAAGTATGACTTGTTTCCCATCTTAGTTTCTAGATGAATAGCTTGGATTCAGAACCAGCCTTCAAAAAAGCAAAAAACCCACACACCTAGATAAGAAATGTACCACACAGAAAAGTAGATAATTTGTGCTAAGGTATGGGATGCCTTTTCTCCATCATTTTATCACTGTCTCAGTGCCTAGAGAATCTTTATGCAAAGACAACTTCATTTTCCCAGTTGTCTTCATGAGTTAAGAGATTTACTATGCAGAGGTGCTAACTGATTTCTCAAATCCATGAAATTATCCACATTACAAATTCTGCCTCAAGTGTTCAACAGAAGCAAGAAATAAAACCAAAGAAATCAAGGGAGAAAGTTAAGCATTCATGTGCATTTATTATACAGCTCTCTAAAACTACATGAGTTAAAATAAGCATACTACAGTCAACAGAAGAAAACTGATTCTGGAAAGACTGAGGTTCTCAAAAAGCTGGTCTGGGGCACTGCTACACAGAGACAGAAAATATTTATCACCAAAATCAGGACAAGTGTGTACATAAACAAAGGCCAAAGTCAGTCAATAATAACCATCCCTCAGAAGTAAGATTGATGATAATACTAATTTTAAAATGCAGGTATTTGCTTTTGTTCATTTCTTTGTTATTGGGTTAAGTAAGTTACCTTTAAATTCTTTGAACATGTTCCACTCACTAGTGCTACAACGCCATCATCTGTTACCTAGAGAAAAAACACACATTGTTATTAACACAGTGGATAAAGCTCAATTTTTTCAAACGCAGCTATTTGGGGGGGTGGGGTGTGTTTATTCACTCCCTGCAGTCACTGAATACGCTTGACATTACAGTATTTTCTTCCCAATTAAGCCTGTAGAGAAAATCATCCAACTATGGGTGGTTTTCAGTCTACTAAACACTTGCATTTTACTGCCATGTGATCCAGCCTGGCTTTCTACCAGGATGTTTTCAACTGTGTTACTGCTATTTCTGCAGCTTCCTTGTCTCATTTAACAGTGGCTCACTGTTATGGTCAGAGCATGGCACTTTTAATCGATAAGGTTTAAAGCATTTCTGCTCTACCTAGACCAATTTTTCTCCTGTTTTCAGGACTGCTGGAGATGTTCCTGCAGGAAGTTTCTTGGGTTGGGAATAGCAGACTTTTATCTGCTTACTGGTACGTATCTTAAAGCAAACCAGTTATACAAGACAAAAATCCCTCAAATAAGCAGTCTTACAGCAGTCGTCACACACTCGCACTAAAAGGTTTATCAAACTGACTGGCTGCAGCCAGCCACAAAGGAATGATTTACCTGCAAGACAGAGGAGAGACACAAAAGACGTTCTCTTCCTTAGAAAGGCAAGAAAGGCCAATTTATTTGTTTGCTTCCAGGAACCAAATTCATTAAACTTCCTCCCCACTTCAAAAGATGGATTGGATCAGATCCATCACAGGTTTTTTCACAGAGCTTGTATTAGATGGCAGAAACAACAGTCATCAAATATACACAGTAAGGCTCAGCCAAATTTGACGGCTAAAATCCAGAGACCACAAGCTCCATTTCTGTTTAAAGACTGGATTATTCCTGTTGCACAAATTGTCTTATCGCCTTCTGGCCCTCTACTGCAAGTCTGCTGTACAGAACTGTAACAGAAAGGGTCTGATCAGTGCAAATGGACAGGAATGTCCCGGCACAGAGGCACATAAATGCCTCTAAGAACAGCAGGTATTGTCAGTACCTAGCTTAGCTGGTCATCAAGATGACGGCACATTTTACTCCTCAGGACACCCAGAACAGGAGACAAATGGCAGTAAATGAATAAATTCTAGTAACTCCCATAGGTGGGACAGAATGAAGAGAGTAATCACTGTTGGTTCCTAAAGGGTATAAACCAGCACATCCAAAACCAGTGCATGGTCACCAACCTAAGACCAACCCAAGCACAGTGATGAAGATTTGATAGCCTGTGTCTATTATCCTTCACGTCACCAAACCAAACCTGGGCCAGACTGCCTGGCTGGCACCTGAACAGTGGAGAGAATGCTACTGTCTTGATGCTTGTGAGTATATGGTTATGACAGCAGGAGAGCATGAAACCAGTTTTGTATTAAAACAGTGTCCCCTCACTTCCCTGTACGAGCTGAGAGTAACCACTGCTGTACTATTACTGCAGTGCTGCAGTATCATCTCCTACTCTATTGAACATCTATGTGCACTGTCTGTAATGCCACATCTGCCCATCCGCATCATGGGGTACACTCCTACATTTGAGGATAAACCACCTGCAGTCAGCACCAAGCCACAAATCCACCAGCTCCTTGGTACAGATCGATTGTCACCAAACTCTGTACGCCATCTCTAGCAAAGGCTTACAGAGCCCAGTACCAGCAGTGAAGTACACGAGCAGCCCGGCTCTGTCCTACACGAGAAGTGTCTGGACAGATCAAATGGCTAAGCTGCAACACTCCTGGCTTTTGCCAATGCATTTTGCAGAGAACTTAACTGTCCCACACCCTACACAGAAAACCACTGAGGTCTGCACAGCCCTTTCAGGCAAGATTCTTCCCACAATTATCTGCCTACACCGAGGCAATGAACATTAAAGATAAAATGTACCATTTAATCAACACAAGGATTTGGACCCTTAAGCTTGTGTGTCTAGCTGCTAACACTGCTGAGATTTAGAGCACACTAGAGGTAGAGGAGTCAGTACAGGTTTTATACATAAAACCTACCTCCTCAGAATAATAATATAAGCATACTGTTAAGTAAACATAAATAGATTCCTTATGTGGTCCTGGGCCAGTGTAGCGGAGTTCTTCAGGCCAAGCTTCCTCTCACACTCTCTGTGTGCATACAGAGGACACAGAGCTACAGTTCCTTCTTAGTTCAAACCTTCCTTTGCCTCACCCACCCCATTTCTTGTTATTTTGCAGCACTTCTATGCCTTCTACTTACTGTACTTCATCTCCACAGTCACCAGATGAACTAATTTTTAAAATGGCTACATCACCTTGAGGCATTTGGCCCCTACGCAGCCTAGCTCGTATCTGCTTCCCTGTTCCTGCAAGTGAGCTGTGCCCTTCTTTGCATTGCTGATCTCCAACATTCTCACCATTCTACTCTTTCACACAGCTTCGCCAGTTCCAGTTGGTACTTTTACTATGCATTCTGGCACTCAAACACAAGAATACGGTTAGGCCTTGCAACCTCTACAGCCATGAACCATCCACAGTTTCTCTGCTTCACCTTAAACTTATTTCATTTATACCTAGTATATATTTCCATTTATTTTTAGTCAAATGGAATTCAGAATTCTAGTGTATTATCACCATATGATTATCAGAAAGGAATAAAAAGCTGTGGAAATGTGTAGTTATGCAAGAAACTTTCACCTAATTTAAAACATACACGGAAATGTAGCTATTTCCTATAAAGGAAGAGAGGCAAGGGGACAAAAAAGTAATGAAGTCAGTTTGAAGAAATAGAGTTAAATGATAATAAAAATTACCAAATAAAAGATTAAAATTACTTTTGATGACATACTTCTGGAAAAACTGAAAGAAGAATAGCATCTAAAAAAAGAACCTGCTACATGTTTTCCAGATCTGACACTTCATTACGAATGCTCTGTGCCTCACTCGCATTCAGTGTAATCACTCACCATCACAGTCAACTGAACATCACGCTTACTGCGAAAGTTCCCTTCCCTCACTTCATTATCTTACTGTAATTATGAAGTATGTTACAGTATTGCTGTTGCAGCTGATTTCCCCCTTCACATATTAAATACTGTTATTAAATCCTCTTACCTGCCCTTTCTGACTTTTTAAATGTCATTCTTTCCGTGTCGACTCCATAACGTAGCTGAGGAGCCATTCAGAAAGCACAGTCACTCTTGAACTAGAACTAATTATGGAGTGTTTACTTCTACTAGGGGCTTATATTGTTTGACATCCATTATTATTGTTATCCAGGTCAGTTTGTCCTAACTGAAAGCTGACAATAACCTGCCCAAGATTCTACTTTCTTTAAATTAAATATTTTGGTTTACTTTAAAACTTGAAGACAATGATTGCATTAAATAAAGGTACTGGAAAAAACCCTCCAATATTAGGTAGATTCTAATAAAAGTTTATCTTTGGTCCACAGTACATGCTGTGTATTTTTCTGGTTACTGAGATGCAAAATATATCTTTCCTTTTCCTTGTGAGGAGGAAATCTGAAGTGAACTGCAGTCCTAAATCTTGTCAAGAGTACAGCTAGAAAAATCCCCTTTCAATTTTATCACAACAATCTTAAAAAATAAACAAACAAAAGTCAATTAGCCATTTGCCACCACAGTTACCTGAGTAGATGAAAAATCCACACTGTGAAGAAATTTGCAGTTTTCTCCTAGTGCCTGCAGAGATGCATCTGTGATGCCTGAACAGCTGCCCAAGCTCACTATCTGTAGGAACTGGCAGTTGAGTGCAAGAGCAAGAATTCCACTGTCAGTTATATCGCAGCACCTTTTAAAAGACACTTCATGCAAGTAAGGACAGGATAAGGCCAGGGCTATGACACCTGTCAAAGAAACAGAGCAATTTAAAGAATTACTCATATTTTAACACGACCACCATGCTGAATCCAATATGCCGTCCCCTGGTCATTGACTGTTCAACTTTCATCTCACGTGGCAGCAGCAAGACTCTGTGCAAGGAAGCAATTTGGTGGTTGGTTTCTTTCAATTCAAGAATGAGAGAAAGCAAATGACAATGAACAATGCTAGAGTTGATAAAAATTTCTAATGCTGAATTCCCTTCCATACTGCAGAGGGATACCTGAGGGGTATTATGTACGTGAGGTACCACCTCAGTGAGTGTGTGACAAAAAGCCAATGGCTTGACAGCAGTGTGACGACAGTGCTAGGTCCCACTGACAGTGCGGTGAATATCAGGCAAAAAGCAAGGTAAGAGGTCATGTCCGAGGTCAATTTAGGAAATCAAAACAGTACTTCAGAAGTAGGACAGGAACCAGGTACACCTGCGAGACAGCTCAGGCCAGGACTGAAGGTCCATGGGCAACTGGTGTAGGCTGGCATGGCAGGTGAGACCAGTCATGGCCATTAGGGTCTGTTGGTGCCCTCAGAGCGCTGACAGTTAGTCATAACCGAAACACTTGCACAGAAGTGTCAGGACGTAGTCAATAAAATAAACATGAACTACAGATGCAATTCGTGAAAGGCATTTATTTCAGGGATGATGGAAACATGATGATTACAGCAGTACAGAAAATTACATCACTTCTGGACAAATAGAAGTAAAAAGTCGAATGTCATTAAGATATGTTACTAAGTAAGAACTTCAAAGAAACATGGACAAAATAGTACTTGCTTGGGTCAGAACCACTTTGCAAAGAATGATAGAAAGGACAGTACTGGTAGCTGAATTTGACAGAGAAGTAAGTACTGCATATTATATTAACTGCATTAAATGTTCCACATGCAACCTACACAGCAAATGTTTACTAGCAATGACAAGGCTCAGATATTTCTGGATGAGGTACCAAAAGGTTTCTTAAAAAAACCCAAACCACCCAAACAAACCAACCAAAAAATCCCAACCTGTGACTGAATTAGTAAAAGATAACACTGATTTAAATGGGGTGGTTTTGGGTCTTTTTTTTTTTCTGTATGTAGTTAAGACAAGTGATACAGAACTGTTCCAGCTTAAATTAAAGGCTTCATAACTGATTCTCAGTTTAAAAAGGGCTCAGTTTGTAAGCAGGAAAGTTAGTAAAGCTGGACAGACTAGGAACTTGCCAATAAAGAAACAGACTTCCCAGTGTTAATTCGAAAGTTATCAGGCATCTCTACCCAAATAGATGAAAAGTATACATAAAGAGCTCTAGGCTCAGCTGGTATTAGAAATCAGTGGACAGATGAAGGTACTGAGGGAAGACCACTGCAAACTATCTTAGGGGTCAAAAAGTGTAACAATGAGGTGACATTGAAAAGAAATAAAAATCCATTTTTAACAGTTTAACCAATTACTTAGGTAAAAAGATAAGTGTATCACTATGCAGTGGTAAGAAAATACAAACCAAGTCTGATCTGAAGTGCGGTATACATTAGCTTAACACTAAATTAATATTTGGCCTCGATTTTCAACAAGGATGAGTTAATGATGGAGCAAAGGAGTAAGTGTGTCTTTTGATGACAACAAAACTTGTGGGAAATAAACGTCAGCAAGCTGAATTCTTTTAAGCTAATAGCTCCCGATACAACTTGAAACTGGAGGTTAAAAGTAACACCTAAAGTCCTAAAGCAAGTCAAGTCTTTTAAGGCAGAGAAGATGCTATAAGCTTATTTAATAACAAATACATTTAATTAAAAAAGGGGAAAAAAGTAATTTACGAAATCAGAAGCCTGAAACTTCAACACCAGTAGTACTGGTAAGGCTTTGGAACAAGTTTTGAGGAAGGAATAATTAAGATGATGTTGAAAATACAATCAAATGTAGCATAGTTTTAACAGAAACCTAGCAGGAGAGCAACCCAATAACTCTCTTTCATAAGGCAATTGGTGCTCTAGGCCTATAATTTACACCACTGAAGTGACTTTTAACTAGTACTGGTGTGGCATTGGGGATTTTTTTAAGCAACATTTACCTTAGATATTTTTTGCAATTTACTCCAATCTAACAAGAAAAATAAAACAGAAATAAGATCCCAGTTATCTGTGGACAGATAACATACCTTCTGAAGTGATTCCCAATCTGTTTTTTTGGCCAGAATTTAAGACGATTGTTTTCAGTTGCTTGCAGTTATAAAGCTGCAATAATGCATTATCTGAAATATCACAGTTTTGGAGGTATAGAGACTCTACAGCAGGGTGCAATACCTGTAACGAAAACCTACCATTTCAGTCAAACTCTGCTATGTCATAGAACATGCATATTTTTATCTAAAACACTTGTAATGTTAGACATCACAGAGAACTTTTAAAAAATATTCACTAGAGGATGGTGTTACCAGCCCCAGGAACTAAAAACTCTAAAGAAAATATGGTGTATTTCCGGCAACAGTTCATCTCCTACAGCATGAACATTCAGTTTCTGTGTCCATATTTAGAGTAGGAGCACGTTAACACTATCAGTTAAACAGCAGAAGTACCATTTTGATGGTACAGTCGCTAACACTAGTGCTTCTGTCAGCACAGATATGTTTACCAAGGATAACACCCTCAAACTTACTAGCACAACTTCGATGGCCGAAATCTGAAGTGCCAAAAAGTACTGACTGCGATCAAAACTTAAATCCGCTGAACAAGTAACAGTAATATTTGGAAGATATTTTGCCCCAAGGTATTTTTCTCACCTACACACACACTCTTTTTCTCATAAACAAGCAATCTCCTTATTATACCATCAGGAGGTACCAAATTCTCATCAAACAGGCTCTTTCACTCCCACAAGACCATAGGTTGTAGTTTTTGTGAAATCTTCCCCAAGAGGACATTTGTGAAATTTAGACCCAAAGCAACAGAAGGCCTCAGATTTCAGTAACAACAGCCATATATCTTACCTCTAATTTAATTTTCAAGGATTCTCGTTACTTTTTAATAAACATTGTTTATAGCCCCTCCTGTGTAAACAATCTATACCTTTGCTGAGCTGTCCTTCAGACCAATAGGCAAGCGTTACGTTTTCACATGATGTTTTATTACTCCCTTAAGCTTGTCAGTCCCTTCCTTAACTCGCAAGAATAAAAGCATACAGTAATTTCCACACACAAGCAAAAATAACAGCATAGCTGACAAGCTTGTTAAAGGCCTATTCCTTTCTCAGGTCCATCATTCTAACAGGTACAATAAAGATATTAGAAGGAATACTGGTATTCTGCTTTGCAAATATATAAGATGCTAAAATCTTTTACTGTCTTTTAGAAAAAAAGCAAAAACTTCTAGTAGATTATAATTGCAACCTTTCTGCAAAATGAATGGCAGACCTCAGACAGCTTTGACAGCTTTTTCCCTCCAAATGCTAGAAGCCTCAAATATGTCTCTCCCTGCCACAAAACCACTAACATATTCCACAGTACACTTGTGAGTAGTTTTCACAAGATAACATTCAGCTCTTACTTCACTCATATTTCAGAATTCACACCTAAGGAACTAAACCAGCCAAACCCAGAGATGATGGGCTTAAAGCCAAAGCAACCATCAACATTTATTCAAGGTGCTTTCCCTGACTGTTTGGTTTCTTTTGCAATTCCAAATTGCCTAAGACACAACAAAAGCGAGCAAACTGCTGGTTATGAAGCCGCATGAGAAATCTTATAAGTAAAAGAACTATTACATGCAAGGAAGTCTAAATGAGAAGCAACAAGACCATCAGAATACTGCCTATTTAAAGTAGCTAGAGCATTAAGCTTCCCTAGCCCATGAACCTTCACATGCTCAGGTATTACTTAGAGGTTTGCTTTATATTATTATTCATAGATTCGTATTCACTGAACGCATGTACCGAAATGTAACTTGTCTCAAAGAAGATGGAATTTTAGATAGAGTAAGGGTTGTTTGGATGCAGATTACAGGAGATTAAAGTATCGACTTCTATCCTGTGGTCACATGCTGAATGGCTCTACAGATCTTTATGGTAAAAGTGAGCTGGAATACAGAGTTTAGCGTGCGTGTCATGGATGGCTGCTCCAAGCAAAAAGCAGAATAAGGAAAAATAATGCACGATAATGCTGAGAGTCTTGGGGCTGTTCAGCCTGAAGAAGGCTCTGGGGAGACCTTATAGCGGCCTTCCAGTGCTTAAAGGGGGCCTGCAGGGAAGGTGGGGAGGGACTCTTTGTCAGGGAGAGTAGCGATAAGACAAGGGGTAATGGTTCCAAACTCAAAGAGGGGAGATTTAGATTAGATATGAGGAAGAAGTTCTTTACTGTGAGGATGGGGAGACACTGGCACAGGTTGCCCAGAAAGGCTGTGGCTGCCCCCCCCCCGGCAGGGGTCAAAACCACTTTTTGGGGCTTTGAGCAACCTGGTCTAGTGGAAGGTGTCCCTGCCCATGGCAGGGTGGTTGGATGGAACCAGATGGTCTTCAGGGTCCCTTCCAACTCAAACCATTCTGTGATTCTGTATCACAAATGTAGGCAAGAATAGGGAGGTGAGAGATGAAACAGAAGTTTATATCTAAATGCAAGTTAACAGAATTTCAATTGAAAAAAAATAACTTTAAGCAGAATACTTAAAACAACATCAAAGAAAGGACATGCATAAAAGCAAATGAGACGGCATAGCCTGGAAAATTCCAAGAGAATAGATCTAGCCACAATACTGTGGAGGCTACCAAAAAAAAAGAGCAGGACGGAAGCAGTAAGTAAAGAAAAAAAAAATCCTTAACCATACAGAAGACTAATTGAGATGTTGTAAATGTGTCACATGTAGAATATGTTGGTTATACATGATGTGAGCAAGGAATAGTAAGAAGAGCTAAACAACACTGGCCATTTTTGCTATGCCGAATGACAAGAATATCTGCAAGATGAAAGAACAGGAAAACTGAGGAGCAAAATGCTATGGAGAAACAGTATGAATTCAGAATCTTCCTTGGGTTTTTTTAAAATACAAGTGAGGTACACCTGGAAACTGTTAGCAAAGAAAGCCGAAGTATATCATGCCCAAGAAAAGTGATGACAGCTAAGGATAGAATTGCAGGAAATTGCAGGAACAGAGAACTGAAAAACACATAAGAGAAAAGAACCAGAACAGAATATCCCAGTGTCATACGGAAGACAGGCTGCAAGAGAAGGCACTGATCAACTGCTGAATGAAGACAAATACGGATAAGATTTTACAAAGAGAGAGAGGAAAAGGTTGCAAGTTAAACTCTCTAGTTTGTTTTCAGATAAAAGATATCCTAATAGCTTTTGTGCATTTATAACACACAGAGTCATATGGTTTTAATTACATACATCTCTTAGGATGCTTAGAAAGGATTACTTACTGAAAAAATAGCCTAAACCAAATTTATCAACTCAAATTTTCTAAAATAAGATAAATTAATAAGACTGATTTTTCCTCAAAGACTTTGTACAAGCAAAAAATGGTGCATACTAATGATAAAATTTCTTGTTCCCAAGTTTTCCACAGTACTTCTGATTCTGCCTCTAGTCTTGGCTTCACTCTTCTGACTCTGAGAAACTGATACTATTTGCCTCTTTCAAGTCACAGGTCAAAGCAGGAACGAACACGGAGTCACTCATTTTCTGTTTCACTAAGGCCAACCTTTAGCTTTCCTCAATGCTCACACCTCCCTTTGAGGCTGAACAAGATAACAGTAGACAGATACCAAAACAGATGTGCCCCTGAATTTACAGCTAAAGAAAAGTCTTTAAGTGGTTTCATTTTGAAACACTGACACACATCAGTGAGCAAAAGGGATGAGAGAATTTGAACTACCCATATCTAGCCCTAGCATCATCGTATTTCAAAGAATCACGATTTAAATAAATTATACGGAGATCACATGCATCACGTCAACAGAACGTAACAGAAATCTAACAAGTTCCCAAAATCTCTTCATTACTAAATTACGCACTAGCTTCTTGAAACATACTACATTCAGGAACCAGTCTCTACCAGTTTGCAATGGAGTCTAGTTTTTGGTAATGAAAAAGGGTAATATATGTCAGCTGATTACACAGAAGTTAGAGATCACTCAAGCGAGAACATTTTTACTTGTCACTACAAACATAATCTTATTACTCCTAACGCATACTAACATTATGAAGTTTAAGAAAATAAACTGTAGACACGGACAGAGTAAGCAGGCCTGAATTTATCTGTTGTCTCACGTGAACAGTTTTAGTTTCTCTATCCCAGACAGAGGAGTTTTGAATAGGTTCTTACCTCACTGATATTTGAATCAGTTATTTGCCCTTGGCTACTCATTAATTTAATCAGTTTATCCTTTATGTTGGGTGGCAACGACTTGATATCTGCAGCGTATCTGGAAAGGTTCTTCGTCAAACACTGAAGGCATCTGAAATAAAGAAAGTTACAGTACAGTCAAAACCAGGCATTATATGTTAGAACTAGGCCGATCAAGCCAGAAGATGTCACCTCCTGCATCCAGTTATGCGGCTTTCAGACCTTACCCGTTCCAGCTGTTCCATGCTATCACCAATTCAGTTATTGCCCTTTGGGGTCAATCAGCTGATCATTCTGTGCAAGTGTTCCCCAATCAACTGTAGCCAAAAATTGTAGCCTCATTCACTGCGATCACCAACCCATCTCACAAAATGAATTAGCTGGCAGCATATTCACGAGCTCTAAGAAAAGCCTTTTCACCAGCTAGGCCTCCACTTGGCAGGCAGCAAAATCTTCCGCTGGAATAGCTAGTTCCAGAGAAGTGACACCTCTCTTTCACCTCAGTTAAAAACATTAAGGAGATATTTTCAGGCGTAGTATTTTGTTCACGGTGTAGTTTGTAGATCTCTTTTTATATGAATTGTGCTGTGTAACCCTGTGCTCAACCTTGTGCTTAAAACTAGATCAGATCACAGATGATTGTGCGTGGAAAATCCTGTCCCCAGTGGTCAGTGTTCACAAGGGAGACAGAGGAGTCTTGTAAAAATGAACTTTATTCGAATAAAGGGAAAGTCCACTGGGCATATCCCATGGGGTCTCTCAAAGTTGCTGGGGGTCACAGCCCCCTTATTACCCTAACTTCCTGGCCACATAGGACCCTCTCCCTTTCCCTATTGGCTAAGGTACTAGGAAGGCACAGACTTCCCGATCCGCCTACTACATATACTACATATTTACCCCTTAACATGTACCTATCCCTCCTTCGCATCATGCATCATGTGTTTCATTATCATGTCATTATGCACCTCCTGGGGGGAGAGGTTAATGTAAATAAGCCTATGAAGCCTGTGCGTTCATTCCTAAAGTTGAAAAGTTCAGACTCCCCCTTGGCTTTTTCAAGGGAATTTTTATGATTTTCAGGTTATCTTTTCCTAACAGAGCTTCTGTGGTTCAGCCAGTTCTCCTGATTGTTTCTTTTAGGTTATCTTATCTAACAGAGCTTTGTAGCCTGGTGAATTCTCCTGATTGTCTCTGTCTGGTTACATATCTTACTAGCAAGGCCGTATACATCTGTATTATAGTGGGCTTTATTTGTAAAGACACGTACATTTATATTTTCTATCAATCGGTTAATATTCATCAGTTCATTAAGCATACGTGCTCACCCCAGAAGTTCAAAGGTTTAGTCTTGTCTTTGGTTCCTGTTGAGATCCCCTAGTTACTGAGACATATGGCACTTTTTTTTTACGAGGCCTGGTGAATAGTGTCACATATCTGTGAAGACCCCCTTGTCTTAGTCTTATCACTTACTAAGACACATGGCTCCTCTGGATAAACAATGCCATGTACTTGTATAAACACTCTCCTCCTTAGCTTATCACTGTTTAGGTCTGTGGTATCTTGTACCAGCCTGGGTACATAATCCTATCAATTGTCACCTGAGGCAGAAATTTTTACGTCTTAGTCCAGGAAATCACAGATCAACAAGCTTGTGGTCCTAAAAAGTAGATTAGACAAAATAACTGTGGATCCACGGAAAATATAATATATAGGGGAAAGTGAACCCACTTGGATATTTACAAGGTATTCAAAACACCTCATCACCAATGGTTCTTCAAGAAATTAAGCTGCCCTGGGATGAGAAGGAAGGTTCTCATACAGCTGGTTGAAATCCTATCGCAATCAGAAACATTGATTGGTTTGACTCATACAGCCATTGGTTTTTAATAGCAGAATTCTAGGCCTCCTTCCCCCCACACCTGCCACATGCTTATTTGTAAGAATGATTTATCAACCTGAAGGAAACAGCCTGATTATCATATACAGGGGCTAGAGATTTTGAACTAACAATAACGCAAACACATACTGCATTTTCTATACATCATAAACATCCTGCTCCCTGTATCCAGGGTCAAAATTGTGTCCCTGTTCCAAGCAATGTTCCCTCTGCCAGATACTGAAACTTTACTTAGTTTCCATCATGAGATATTGCTGCATGAGAAATTGCAAACAAATCTCAAAGACACACAGGGCTTAAGTATTCACCTGAAAAGGAAGGACTAGGCAGAAATAAATATTAATAGGCCTACTAACGTCACAGAATGCTGGGGGATGCTTTAAGACAGGATTTTAAATCCTAGAATTTTATCTGTCTTAATGTAACAAAACCGGATAATTACAGTCAGAATACATTGTTGAGAGACTCCAGATGGAACAGAATTTTGGGGGAGAAAACATGAAGAACTTTACTCAAGCAAAACAAAACAAAGAGATCAGTATTATCCACATATATGTGGAATAGTAACCAGTAGAACACTTGAAATAATGGTCCTCAAGGTCAAATATACAGGAGAGTATTTACTTATGTAATAGTGAGTACTATAGAGCGACACTAATCATGTAATGCTATTTTTTTAAGTTTCCTAAGGAATTTTAATGTATCATAGGATACAAAAAAATGTTAATGTCCCAACCTCTGCAACTTTAAATTACAGTCACAGGCTTACTGAAACACCAGAGGCAACTCTGGGAAGAGTTTACAAACAGCTTCTAAGCATCCTGAGCCCACTGACCTCCAGAGCAATCACCAATCAATATGCTAAAAGACAACTGCTGGTCCTTAAGGAAGGAACTGCAACTCTCTGATGGGAGATTTTATTATCAAAACCTAAAGCCCCTAAGTAAATGAAAACATAAACTAGAGTGAAGCTAACCAACATCCTGAGATAAATGAAGGTAACACTCTTGTCATCTAGGAAATGCCAAGACTTTAAAAAGGATTACACTACAGCTAAACTAAATGGAGAGAGTTGAAATAGGGGAGGAAGGTTAACTCATCACTGTCCTCCTCTTAAGATGAGTCCATCTAAGTGATGGAGTTCTTCAGATTGAAGGTTCTATTATTTTGATCATAGCTACCTGAATTAGATTCCCCAGGCCAACTTTTCTTTTTAAATCCTATCCAAAGTTTTGAAAGAAAATGTTACTATACTACAAAACATTTTGCTTTTGTAGAATCAATGTTTTTCCATTAATTCACCCTACCAGTAAACTCAGAGCAGCTACTGTAATTGCACAGTAGCGCTCTCTACTGTAGTTGGCCTCTATACTTCCATGTGACCTGGATACACACAGCAATAACGAAGATTGATAAGACCATAACGCATCCACCTGGCAGACAGATTTTGTCCCAGTGTAACTTAATGAAAGAAACCATTAATCCTGGACAGGGAGAACTTAGTAGTGCTTTACTCCTGTAATGACCTGATAAAAGACCATTACTTCTTGCAAAACCCCCAACTGCTCCACCTTATCAGACTTGTTACACCAGCTGTCTACAGTTCAGAGCTGTCTACAAAGTGTTAAAAAGTGTACTTATTTGTTCCAAATGTGTCAAGAGGTGCAAAACAGAAAAGGCCTATAACCTTTAACCTTAAACTTTATGACAGGGCGAAGGCCTTATGACAGGACAAACGTGTATTTCCAACACATAAACCAGAAAATAGATCTTTTTAACTAACTATTCTACAAATAGTCTAACTTACACCAAGGTACAGCTTACACTAAGTTACATCACAGAAACAGAATAGCAGACCAGCTGTTACAAGTGGGACACATCAGAAGAAGAAATGAATCAGAAGAACAGATACTAAAATAGGTTTAATGGCAAGTAACAAAATAGATACATCTTCCTGCAATCTTTTGGGTTGGATAATTTATATAAGACCACAGGAGGAAGCTCTGGTTTGAAACTGATGCTTTACTTCCATCCTCAGTTTTCATTCATGCAGATGTACCCATCTGCAAATGTTCTGATGCCTTTGTAAGACCATAGTTTTCCACGACACTCACTATTGCAGACTGGCCCCCTGCTAATAACACCTGTTACACAGGACCCATCCATCAACACATGGAAGACTCAAATCTAAGTTATACCTAACTACATCTCTTACAACGACTTACATGTGCAGCACACGTCTACATCCTGTAGAATGGCTTAGGCTGGAAGGGTCCCTAGAGATCATCTAATCCAACCTCCCTGCCATGGGCAGGGGCACCTCTCAACCACATCAGGTTGCTCAAAGCCTCATCTAACCTGGCCTTGAACACCTCCAGGGAGAGGGCAGCCACAGCCTCTCTGCACAACCTGTGCCAGCGCCTCACCACCCTCGTACTGAAGAACTTCTTCCTAAGATCTAGTCTAAACCTACTCTCCTTCAGTTTAACACCATTTCCTCTTGTCCTTTCGCTCGACACTCTTGTAAAAAGTCCCTCACCAGCCTTCCTGTAGGTTCTCTTCAGGTATTGGAAGGCAGCTATAAGGTACCCCTGGAGTCTTCTCTTCTCCAGGCTGAACAATCCCAGTGCCCTCAGCCTATCCTCACAGCAGAGATGCTCCGGCTCCTGGATCATCTTTGTGGCCTTCCTTTGGACTTGTTCCAACAGATCTATGTCCCTATTATGGTGGGGACACCAAAACTGGATGCAGTATTTGAGGTGGGGTCTCACAATCTTAATTAAAACACCTTTAAATTTGATGTTTCATTTGTGTTGCTCTAAGAATCTCATTTTTGATGACAAAATCTCTCTTGGTTCTGAGAACATGTCTGGTGGGCATGAACAAATTAACTTAAAACAACTGCCAGAGCTCTGAGAGATTTGTAACAGCAGCCTCCTACAAGTATGACAGCTCAAGCTGTTATCTGCCCCAACTGCCTTCTCCACCTCTCTGGCAAGCGTTGTTGCTGCCAGGGATCCACTCTGTTTGGCAGGCCCTGTGCCTCCTACACTGTCAGTTTTCAACCAAGCATAATTACGTAAATCAACTACAAATTTGGTGTACCTCAGTATGCTGGCCTTAAAACTGCTTCAGCTAGGAGTGCATGTGTAAGTTGGTCATTTCTCATCTTGGGAAGCATAAGTGCAGAAAACAGAAGCTAATATAA